ACACCAAGGGATGTTTTATTTACAAGTATTCCAATCATTTTGAAAGAAATTTTTATTTTAAACGAAATATATGTTGGGAGCAGTTAAAATCTTGGACTGAACGATATTTGTTCTTAAAATTGTGTTCTAATAACTGACTCTATGATAACTATAAAATAGACTACTCTGATTCAACGAAACAAACTAAGACCCCATTCTATTTTACTTTTATCAGCAAGTCAGCAAGCTTTATTGTCAAAAAAAAAAAAAAACAAAGCTTAGACTCCAAATGTGAAATTATGTAGAACAACTTACATAATATATATTCTTGAGCTTTACAATATCAAAGACTTAAGGGTAAATTAACCAAACCGAAATATTTGATTTGATTGATAATATATCCAATTGATAATATCCCCAATGCTTGCGACTTGCTAATTAGTATTTTTGTATTTAATAAACGGCTTAGTATTTATGCAAATATACTAGAATTCAAGTTCTATGCCTGTCGTTATACATGCATATATTCCAAATTGAATCGTAGACCATCCCTACTACATTCCATATCAGGCTTTCTAATTGCTCTTGATGCTGTCTGTTATGCGTAATTGTTGTTGTTGTTGTTTTTTATTTTGTATTTGTGATTGACTCCACATTCGATTTGGGTTTCCTGTGCAGCAGTCTAACCAAAAGCTTTTAGGGAAGAGTAATTAACTAGGAGCTACCCTGTATCTAGCCCCGAATAGACGAATCTTTAACTCATGCTTACCTGTTTATACCTATATATTATCTAAAAAGATGACTAGACATGGCTAGCGCGAATCATATATACATAATACTTCTTGGGATCAGTTATGCCAACTATTTCCTGATGCACTTGCAAAACTTGATAATACCCTTTTAAACAATTTTTCATAAGTATAGGAGAAATAAAAATAGCATTTGAAATATCTGCAGTAAAATGTGAAATTGAATTTGATATAAGAATTTCCTACGAAAAACACAATTTGCAATAGCTTTTGCATTTGACAGTGACATGACATTTGTATCGGTATACGAAAGAAGCAAAAATAATTTCGGTCGAAAATATATTGAATTACATACACATATTTTATACATGCTCGACCTATGTCAAACTGATGACCCTTTCTCTAAATGTGATGTCAAATTAGCGCCTTGTTTAAATGCCACAAGAATACGAGCTATTTAAATTGTATACGTATGGGGAAAACTCGGTCGGGATGTGGCCCCAATAGACCCTTCTAGTTGTTTTTAAATCAATATTTTGTAATATTGTAATTAGTTTGGGAGATATTCGACTCTACTTAATATACCAATTAATCGACTTCTTATGACCATACGAACAAGCCTCTTACTTTTCATTTGTAGTCGAATATTTTAATTACTTACATGAATAGCATAAATTGTATATGGAAATTAATTACGTATACTTAACTTACTTTAAGTTAAGTACTATAATATGCAGCTGCTATTATGTCAATTACATTTAAAAATTCATCAAAAAGATTAAATCTTCTATAAACCAAATTTTCTTGCTTGTCAAAAGTTTCCGTTGTTACCTGTAATTAAATAGAATAATTCAAAAGCATTTTCGCGAATATCAGATTAATTGTTGTATAACATAATCGTTCCTTTAGATTTGCCAATTAGTTGGGCAATTGTTTCCGCGTTTATTGAAATTAAAGCATTTCTTCTCTCATACTCTGAGCCCATTAAAAATATTTGAAATGGGTATAATGGTTTTTTGCAAATGTATGTAACAGGAAAAAGGAAGCATTTCCGAACTTCTCATTGTTGATTTATTCCATTCATGGCCATGTCCTTCTTCTGTCTGTCGGCTCGTATGTCCGTCAGTTTGCCGGTGTCCGTTTGTCTAGAGCTAAAGACTTGAAATTAGAAAAATATGCTTGTTTTTTGTACCGTCATGCATTTTATAGATCGATAGATAAATAACGATTTCGAGACATGTTTTTATGTATATTAGAGCTAGATACACCGAATTTCGTATGCTGGTTCACGTATAGCATGCGCAAATTAAAAATATATTGCACCTTTCTTTTTGGTACAGTAATAATGTTGCGTGACATATTTGTGACTTGAAAATTTGATAGGAATCTCACAGTAAAAACCGCAGCTAATTATTTAAGACTACCATATAATATGCAGCTGGAAAAAGAAGCAGAGCCGTGTATATGTATAGAAGACGCTTGTAAAAGCAGCTCAACGGTGCTTTCAGAGTGTATCTTAGTCGGGCATTCTTAAATCTCGTTTTTTTATGGACTACTTACCAACATATGTTGTGCATATCATTGGAGAATTGATTGCTATTTAATGTGACTACAAGCAGCTACATATTGGTGGGCGCAAACTGAGACGCCGTGATCTGCCGCCCCTCACACCTCCCTTGGAATGCCGCAAACATTTGCCGACTGTTGAATGTGAATGTCTGTTGCTTGGGCAACGTGACAAGCAAAAGCATGTGATATCCATGCGGTAGTCGTACAATGGCATAAAGGGATTCTTTTTAACTGAACTTGAAGGCTTTTGCTGTCATGACAATGACCTTAAGCGAGTGCAAAAAACTCGATACGGCGACAGGGCATTAGAAACCGCTAGCCGAAAAATCATCTTATTATGCAAATTGTTATTTTATGCTTTCATACCATTGAACGATATTTCAATGGAATCTTTTCCGTGCCCTTGCTGGTGCTATTCTCTGTTTGCTTTTCTCACACAAAAACCCATTAAATCCTATTAGGCTAAATGTTTGTAGGCTGCAAGAAAAAAAAAAAAAAAAAAAACAAACAAACAGCATATAGCAGTAAATAGGGTTTATCGCCAAGTTATCACAACAAACAAATTGGCGCATTAATGCTGCTGAGCCAGGAATATCGTTAAAAAGCCTGTGGATATGTTTGCAACAGTTTTCAAATTGCGTGGAGCATTGTAATATATTGTAATTAAATTGGATTATTTATATATGTTCGTAAGGATTTATTACTCGAAGGATTTATTACTTGTGCCCAGCTCTGCGGAGAGTATTTGCACGAGTTTTACTTAAAATCAATTAGTATTCCCACCCACATATGCCTCTCTAATTCTATTCCATCCTTTAGCTCCGCAGTCTCCACCATTGACGCAACAATTGTTGTTACTCCTGCGTAATCCGAGTCAAAGAAGTTTTTCTTGGAAAATAAATGCTCACATAACAGAAATAAATGTTGTGGGGAGAATATATAACATTTACTATATTATATTGCCTTGCCATTCCTAAAATATAAATCTCATCACATACAGTTAAATTGTTCACCTTGTTTGTTAGTACATAAGCTCTTATAATTTTTTTAGGATTATATAAGATAAAATCTATTTGCTTAAATTGCCTTTGATTAAGAGCTTGTATAAATCCCCCTTATTCATCTTTTTCTGTTTTATTTAAACTTCATTCGTAACACATGTAGTTAAATTTCTTGTGATCTTTTTTTTTTTAAAAAAATGTAAGTAAATGCCATTGGGATTCACTTAAAATACACTCGAAATGCAAAAGTATACACTTTAAATAGCTGAATGAATAGAAAATCACCGTGTGCTGGGGTAAGTTTCCCGTTAAATGTTCGACAAACTAAACCAAATAGGCTTTTGCACAACTTATTTTTAAATGTTTTAGAAAGCGCTGACAAATACAAGCAAGCCGTTATTTACTACATAATCAGGCATTAAGACCAGGCAAGCGAATTAATGTGAATTAATGCTCTGAAGCGTGAAAAACATTTGCACAAAATTTTCATACAAATGAAAGAGACTCCATGCATATATTAGACGTTTGTCTAAGCCACCTAAAATGTGTTGAGAGCCAGCGTGTGATAGCAACTACTAAATTATGCATTATTGAGAATTTTTTAGATATTTTTATTTTTTGTCCCATCTAAAGGAAAGAACGCGTAAATCCATTATATATATATTACATCTTCGGCCTAGCTTAGTCCATTTCGAACGAAATTAAATATTTTACCAATTCCGCACGCGCATTTTCCAGCCAGGAGACGTGGACTTTGCGAAAAATGTGCAACATGTCTCCAATAAATATTCAGTCCTGCAAATGAATTCGAGCCCTAAGCTTCAGCCGTCATGTCTTTAACCACCATTGTCAACAAGGAGGTGAATATTTTTCAAAAAGTGTAGAAAAATAGTAATTTAAGGAAATTGCGTGTTTAGCTTAATATTATGTTACTTTGGATTATAAGGTTAACTGTAGCTCAGTTCATAAAAAAATATATAAATATAACTCACCGGCTCAACTTTGCCAGATGGTTGCCTTTCCTAGAATCAGTCGAATGCAACACAAAGTAAACAAGCCAGCACAGGAGGTTGAGTTCAAAGGGTTTTTATTCGTTTTTTTTTTTTAAGCACGCATGCCAGGGTCGCGATGTTGGAAAGAAGAATCACAAATTGCCAGTTAAAATGAAAGTAAAAGTCGCATTTCGAAACGTACTCTTCAATTGAATTTTGCATTTAATTATATTTTCTTGATTTTCCGACCAAAAATTACTGCCAAAAGCAACAGCAAAAATTTCACAATTATTTAAAATTTCACAATTTTTTTACAATTTATTTACAACTTACACAAATACATATGTTTATATGCGTAGTTTAATGTCAGCGTTATTAACCTGGCCAAATAAATCAAATGTTCGCATTACGTTGCAAATTTTTGGGCTGAACAAAAACTTTAATACAGCTAAAAGCACAATCAACTTAATAAAAATTCAGATATTTATAATTTGTGTTATCCGCACAAGCTTTTAAATGATTATCAGTAAAATTGTAATTTGCGCATTTGAACATTAAATATAAGTATTTTCATGCAAGCATTGGGATACACAAATACAAATTGCAGCGTATATACATATATACAACAGTTAAAACTTACAGCTGCCTTCGATGATATTATTTATTTAATGTTACATATATTTAAGTACATATAGGAATGCATGAGAACGTATTACATTTAACTCTAAAATTCTTATAATTTTATAAATTTTTGCGTATTACTTTACTGCTGCTGACAGCCACAAATTCGTGTTTCGTATTTACAATGAAATTCCTTTCCTTTTGATTGGCTCTTTTTAAAGCGAAACCCTATAGGAACTTTCCCATCACAGTTGTTGAATTGCTTTCGCATTTTGGCCATGGCTGCGGCCGCAACTGTGACCGTGGCCGTGACTGTGATTGGAATCGTGACTGCTATTGTTTTCGGATCCCTCCTCGATGGGATTGTTATCCTCATCGCAGGAAATGTATTTAATTTTTACGCGCTGCCGCTCGCCGGCACTGTTTTTAATGGACAAGCAAATGGGGGAGCTATTGTCATCTATGGGTCGCTCTATTATGCACTCGACGGCCGTGTGGTTAAGACCCTGGACACCCGCATCCTTATCGCGGGACGAAGTTTTGGGCATCTGCTGGATTTGTGTTTCCATTGTGCTACGCTTCCACTGGCTTTTGGTTTCGGCTGCACATTCCGATTGGGAAAATCACATGATAGAGATACTTACAGTGTCCCTTCGTACGTACCTCTTGTATGGCGATTCGAGCTGTTCTTGTTGGCCATCCTGCTCTTCGGCGACTCAAATCTATAGCGCATAAGCCCCAAGCAACAGCAGAAGATTATCCGTTGAAAGTACATGCGAAATCTATAAAAGAAAAAACAAGCAGGTTGAAAATAATTATTATATTGTATTTTTGCAAGCCTCACTATTAATTCGTGTTTTATTTTTTAATTGTTTATTATACCCTTATAGATCCTATAAAGCATATGATATTCTGAGAAATTATCCATGTAGTCTTGTAGGACTATAGGAATCGGAGAGTTTTGACTTCTATAAGATATATCATATTATTCAAAAATTAAGTTCTTGCATAAGCAAATTTTTTGCTTTTTTAAATATTTTAACCACTTTTACTATACATTAACATCGAACCACTATATCCAACCATAAAGGAAGATTCGGTAGAACTTATAATAATATCACTATTTCCATGACCCATGACCACAAGGGTATTAAATCGTCGGCATTCCGTTCTTTTCTGTTTTTACTGATTCATTACATTTAAATTGCTGTTTTTGCTTCAATCTTATATTTGATTTGCTTTTCACAACTTTTAATTTTTTGTGTTGTTTTGTGCTTAATTTCTCATAAATATGTTTGAAGATGTTTTAGTCATTTGTATATTATATATCTATATATATTATTATATTATATCTCACCTCTTGTTCATCCAGTAATAAATTATGGGATTCACCATTGCATTGGACATGGCCAGCCAGTAGAAGCCCAGATACATGTGCTGCACGTACTTTGTGGATGCCACCTGATTGTTGTGATAGGCATAGATGAAGAACAGATGATAGGGCAGCCAGCAAATGGCGAAGATGGAGACAATCGCTATAAACATGCGAACCACCTTTCGCTTTGATTTCATCGATTCCATCTGACGATCCGTGTTCTCCCCAATAGAGCGACTGCCCCAGAGTACTCGACCCATAAGCGAGTAGCATATAAGCATAACAATCATGGGTATGCCATATGTTAATACCAATATGGTCACATTATAGCTGGTAGTAGGTAAACATTTTCAGATAATTTAATAATGGTAAACATCATTCGAATACTTACACATAGTCTGTCATCGATGTTGGATAACGTCCATCGGGCCACATCATGAAGCAAACTGTACGGGATTTTCCGTTGTAATAACTGTCAAGTAATTATAAATCATCTACCGTTATCTCGACTGGGGTAAATTATTTTAAATTTTAAGGTAAACAAAACTTTCGCCGCGCCTAAGTGAATTTTATATAATGCATAAAGGAGCTTCTGCCGTTTTTGTGGCCCCCAACAGTTTCAACATTATTTAATTACGGAAAGCGAACCTAAACCAAAGTGCCCCTTAAATATTATGACGCCTCAAAGTTAAACGAGAAGCGTCCAGACGGAAAGCAACATGTTGAAAGGAGTTTTTACAGCATTTTAGCATAGAATTTATTCATGCCCATTTGATGGCAAAATGAAAACCTAATTTGGAAAATTATCGCAGCTTTTATGCGTCGTGGCGTGCGCACTTAAAAGAGTTGTCCCCATCGGTGACAATTTGTTAACAACCAATTCGGGACCCATTAACAATGCAACTGGCAGTCAGGTAATTACTTGGGCGAACTGTCGGCCAACTCGAGCATTTAAATTGCTCCAGTTACCTGTCACCTGCATGAGCAGATGGCAGATCTATTGAATTCTCTGCGGTATTCAACTCGTTGTACTTAAATCTATTCAGTTGAACGCGACTTCAACAATAGCAATTAGATGATTTCGCTGAAATATGATTTGTTTATCTCCATCAGTGTTATATATGACTAACTTATATCTGCTAGTTATATTTCTCCACAACAATATATATATATATGTGTATATGTATGTATATATTTATTATATACTTTTCAATAATTAGCTATCATCATTCGTGACTTGTGTTGCTCAACTAATTTTATACCCTGAACCCAATAAAAATGGGTATAAGGGTATATTGTATTTGTGCAAAATCCAAATGCTTGTAACAGGCAGAACGAAGCATCTCCGGCCCCATAAAGTATATATACTCTTAATCAGCATCAATAGCCGAGTCGATCTAGCCATGTCCGTCTGTCTGTCCGTCCGTCCGTATGTATGAACGCAAGGAATCAGAACCTATATGAGCTAAAGACTTGAAATTTTGGATGTAGGTGCTCCTAGTGCCTGCGCAGATCAAGTTTGTTTCCGATAATCGATATCTTACTCCGTTTCCAGGCAATCTATATCTATATCCTGTTTTTTGGTAAATAATAAGAGCTAGATTCACGAAACATGACATGTTGCTTCTAAAATAGAATATATATATATATATGCATTTGATGTTGGAAGAAGAGGGTTCAGGGTATCCCCTAGTCGGGAGCTCCCGACTAGAACCTCTTACTTGTTTAAGTATATTTTTCAGGTCTAAGAATTAAGAATTACAAAAAGTTGTTATATTATATATGTATGTGCACATTTCATTTAACTTCACTCATACATATGCCTGGTCATACTAAAGCACAGTTCAAATTTTCTCTTATAACGCAAATCTTAAGGAAAGTGCTTTATTTCAGGCCCAATATTTACACATTTTACCTTATTTAACTTTGTCTATGATGCTTGTATCTCCACTTAGGTACAGATTAGACTCCCATAATGTTATAAATATTTCGATATATAAACTTGCATTTGCTAGAGCTATAGTCTATTACCCTAGGCAACGTTTTATGTCAAGAGCGCTCTGTGCGAGCCAACCAGGCTGTCAGCCAGTCAGTCAGGCAGTCAAGCAGGCTAAATAATAAAAAATGCTTCAATTCTATTAGGTGAATGTGCCATTTGGTTCATTGAAGTGAGCAAATTTGCGTAAAATTCAAATGAAAGTTAAGTTACTTGGCTTGTTTAGCTTCAGGTGCCTAGATCGACGCCTTTGCATAATGTTGCCTAATATGTAGGTCTGATGGGGTATACAACATGTTGCGGATAGGGGCATCAGCGAATCGATGAGAATACTCGTACATGTGGGGCAGGGTACACAGCGGGCGACTGCGCTGCAGGTGGTGCGCTCGTGTGAGAAAGTGTCTACGTGAAAAGTATCTTGAGCTTTCGTCTTACAAAGTTCTTTATGTTTATTACTTGGTTGGTAGGTAGGAAAAGCGGAAAATAAACAAAATATGCGGCGGTTGTTGCCCTTGCTGCTGCCACTTGCCGCTGCTGACTTTGTGGGGCCGGCAAGGTCATATATATATTGTGGAAACACTTCACTTACTGCTTTGTCATGATGCTGGAGTAGAGCAGGCAGGGCGCGGAGAGGACACAGCTCAGTGCCCAGATCAGTACCAGAATGAATCGCACTTTGCGACGCGACGTGCGCCGCTTTAGAGGATGTACTATGGCAATATATCTGCAAAGATAGAACACGAATGCACAAACGGAAGCCGATGCGGATGCGGGTATAGATGCAATGAAGATTATAGCAAACACTCAGCACTCACCTGTCGAAGGAGATGGCAACGAGGGTGAAGACCGATGTTGAAACCGTTACGTTTGCCACAAAATTGTTGATGGTGCAATAAATCGAGCCAAATGGCCAATCCGAATTCACCATGAATATAAAGTTAAAGACACAATTCAAGGTGGACATTAGCAGGTCAGCGATACTCAGGTTCAGCAGGAAATAATTTGTGACCGTGCGCATGCTGCGATGTCCTGAAAACAAAACGAAAAGTGGCCAAAATGTGAGACGTGACAACAAAGAGAAATCCACCGGATATTAGCAGCAACTTATTCTTGAAAACAACGCTAGCAATCGATGCAGCCAAGCGACCAAACAAAATTGCGACCGCGTGGCGTATACGTGATTTAAGTCAAAAATACTCTTTAATGTGGCGCTTAAGTTCTTCTTCCATTTTCAACTATAAAACAATCTTAAGCCTGTTTAACTATCAAGTGCTTACCTGTAACAATCCAGAGAACAATTCCATTGCCCGCAATGGCCACGAACATCATCAGCCCAAATACAATGGCCCAAATCGTTTTCTGTTCCCACGGCAACTCATAAGGACGCGTGGGTGAAGGAAACAAGCATTCAGTAAGAAAGTCCCTGTGGGGAGAAAGAGAGAGAGAGAGCGCGGAAGAGTTATAGAGACAGAGAGAGAACCTGAGTTTAATATATGTATATGTATATCCATAGACGTAAACAAATGCAAATCTTTCAATATGCACAGCAATTGCAAACACGAGCTAGCACAAATCCTTTGAGCATGACTGCGTATACGTGTGTCTATGCATGTGTTCAACAAAATATAAATGAATTTACGCAACAGTGGGTTCAATAAAACTGCATACCAAACACACATGTGCATATATTGAATACGAGCCAAACACGAGTATTCAAAGGATTTCTATTGTTTTCTGTGGTGTGACCTGCACTCAACAGGACCAAATGTTGGCTTGGTCAGTTTTTGAATCGATATTAGGAAGTTCAAACTGCATTAAGCTTAGACAAATTCAACTTTCACCTGTCCGGCTCAACGCCAAATGATGGTCTTTACGACCAACAACAACAACACTTAAATCTAGCAGGTTGTCTGTATAACTACTTCAAGGAACTTCCGGCCTTTATCCTCAGTCTGAAATTAAAACCACTTAAGGCTCGTATGCAACGAAAATCATATACACATCTGATTATCAAAATGCTTTTTGATTTCATTTAAAAAGAAGTTTATAGAGCATATAAACGTTTACGCGATGTGGAGACTCTTTTAGCCATAAGGCAGTGGTGCTCGGATTAATTTGATTTTTCCTTTGGCATAAGTAGTCTGATATATTTATACGATATTTTACTGAGGACCATAAAAAGTTTGTTCTTTTTTCTAATTGACTTTAGAATACGTTTCTAGTTCTGCAGAAAAGCTAAGCGATAAAATAATTTGATTTGGCCGATTCAAACAGTTGTAAAACCTGCAGAATTCAGAATCTTTGTCAAGTTGCACCATGAACTACTTGTATATACTTGTTCCGCAAAAATCTTTAGAGAAACTTTTATTCACATAAGGGGACGAATTAAACATAAAAAAAAAACTAAGCTCAACTACAATATAAATACAAACATATATAAATCAACTGTAAAAATTAATTTGATTTTTGAGTGCACAAGCCCCGGCTTGATTTTTTTGGCCTTTAACTTTTCACCTTTTCAACTTGGACAATAGAAAATCAATGAAGCTCACGATGAGAGCAAATTGAATAAAGGAAACTGCTGATGATGATGATGGGAAATCTCAGTAGCGCAGAAAATCAAATCTGTAGTTTTAAGTGATTTCATTTGAGCTGCATCCGTTCGCCAGTGGAAATGAGCAACAGTCCTTGGTAAACGACGTCGAGGTAAACACAGAATCTCACTTAAGTTCCCCTCTTGGCTGAACTGGTTTCACCCTGATAAGCATATATGTTCGTGACTTAAGGTAATTAGTGGGCTCTTGAAGTCGGGCTAAAATGCTCTTCAACTGGCTGGTTGAGGGGCATTCTGATTAGTGCCCAATGGAAAGCTTAGCTCATTAATTAGGCAACCGTCGTATTGTTGCTACACACCACAGCTTTACAAACCGCTGCCTGTCAGAGTGCAACGTGCAATCAATTCTGCGTTATATCTAATCAGCTCAGTTGGCCTGGGATACATTTTCCTGACTGTGCATCCAACATTATTCGAAGCAGCTCAGAGCAATTGCCCAGAATACAGGTCAGTAAATAAAACTCTTGAATAACGTGTATGGGTTAAAAGAGAAGTAAATAAGGCGAGAAATATTTTTATTTTCTTTTAAGTATATGCATTCTTAATCAGAAGGACAAGCTAAGTCAATCTAGACCTATCCCTCTGTACCTCTGGTTCTCTTCTGTGTGAACACTTTGATCTAAGGAACCACAAGGAGTAGAGAATTTAAATTTAAAAATATAATTATATTCACACATACCATTTTTATAAAATTGAAAAATTTCGTTTGTAAGACAAAATTTTTTTTTGGTTATACCTCGAATATTATAATAATAGTTGCTCTAAACTTGGTATATGGTTTCTCGTGCAGTATGCGTTACTAAAAAATACCAAAGCTTTATACTAAAGACTAGATTTCTGATAGTGCGTGAAATTTACAAACTTTAAAACATACTTACTATCAAACGTGCTCACTTACAAGCCCCACAAACACTTTGTCCAACAAAACATTGCAAGAAATATAAAAGCTTTTATTACCTATCAATCTATTATTTATTATTATTATTAATTTGCTTTGCGTTCATCGATCAACAGAACCCACACATTTTACAATACTTATAAAATGTTCGTTCTTTGGTATTGTGTGGTTAAAGGTCATCATAATTAATTTTAAATCTTATTTTCTAATTGGGCTTCCCACATTAAGCATAATTAAATGAGAAATTTAAATAAGAATTTAGCCTTCAAGCTAATTAAATGCTCTTTTTTTAAACAAATGCCTATGCGTGTTTTGTGTTGTTTGCTTTTGAAACTATTTCAGCTATCTAAGTATAATCTAATGCTTCATTTTACAAAATATTTTCCCTATTTACATGTAACTTTTAATAAAAAACAGCCTCTCAAATTAGCAGAGTTCAGTCCTTGCTATTATTTTTTACTGCTTTTTCCTGTGATGCGAATCCTCTCGTCAGATTTAAAGGTTAAAATGTAAAATAGAATATTTAAAAATAAGTTCGGCTGCAATTACACGATTGGTTTCTAGGCGGGATTACTACCCATGCCTTCTGTTTTTTGTGGTAAAGGAAAAACTCATGCCATGGAGCTTAAGAAGTTCTTCCGAGAAATTATCATTGTGCCTTTTACGAGCAATGAAAGGCATACAACTCTGAATGGAAATTGAGGAAGTTGAGATTTGATAAATTGACGGTTCTTTCCTCTTGAGATAATATTGACCCCTGCAAGCTTAAAACATAAAATGTTTTACTTAAATTGTGTAACTTTAAAGGTTAGTAAAAACAAATATTTGTTGGCTTAACCGGCAGCCAGGTATAAAACTGAATTCAATTCATCAAACCTGCACAATGCGAATGTCGAGAAAATGTATTAGCTAAAAACTAAAGTTGCAATGCAACAGCTTTGATTTTCTTCAAGATAATATCAAAACTTTCATGAAAATACAACAAATGAAAGTGATTACATTTCCATCGAAATGATTCTTTTAACTTATTCAGTGGTGTTTGAAATTCCTGACTTAATTATATGTTTACCCGTCAGCACATACTCGTAATTCACTCAATTAGTTGGGCCAAACACAATATCGATTTGATTATCGCACAAGATGTGTGCTCAAGTGCTGTTCACGTTCCTTGGCTCATTTGTAACAACAACAGAGAATTAACGTAGTTGCGATACGTCTACAACTCTGACGAGGATAAAACGGTTTATCTGCTTCTTTGTTTTTTTCATCACTGCCTCAGGGGCAATTTAAAAGGTAAAATAAATGGCACAAAATTGACATTAAAGCACACGCGACTTACCATTCGTCGCAATTCTATGGAATTGTGGAAATTTTCTGGTAATGCACTTAATATGTTATACAGTCAATTTATCATGTTGTTTCAATTTTCATAAAATCTACGCATGCAAAATTGCGCATAATGTATCTGACTTTAATTTGCATAATTGCATTCTGCGGCTGCTGCCAAGCAACAGCAAATTTCGCCCAAGCACCAATACTTAACTGAGATTAGCTGTCAATGCAATAATGCTCTCCAAAAGATAAGGAAACGAAAGAGCTTTGTTATTGTCTGTTCACGAGTGGCATGCAATTTGTGTTGCCTACTTTTGCGCAGCAAAATGTATAGCGGCACCCCAATTAGAGTTGGCCGCGTATTGTATTTCAGAATATCGTTTACCGCGCAAGCTCGTGCCTGCCCAGCAAAGCCTCCGCACATAAAACGACGAGAAAAATACTTGGTATTACCCTGCGTTTCTCAGCTTTCTATAGCTAACTATCGGGTTATATCAGGCTCTGCCCGAGACAATTTTAATTTTCCAAATTTTCAACATCTCTATTCCATTTGTTAGTGAGGAAAAATAACGAGTCCTTTTTCTAGACGATTAAAATGGAATGGACAATAAGGTTAAAACCGTCAAAATTTCAGATACTAAGATTTGAACAGTATTTGATTAGCAATCACTCAGTCGATCAGAACGAATTGTTTTACAAAAACAAATTAAGTTGATTTTTCTTGCCGCTGCGTGCCTTATGGATCGGACTTTCCGCACGATGCATCAAGGTGTGAGACATACCAGATAGTTTTAAAAATTGTCTGATTAAAAGACAAAACAGTTGATAAATTGTTTAAAATGCAGTAAATTTCGATATTCCGTTCGTGTGTCTGTCGTGCCGAGTTACACGAAAGCCAAACACACTTCACACACCATTTTGATTTGCGTGTAATTATGGTAATTGCTGTTTGTTTTGACTGTCGAAAAGAAATAATAAACAAAAAACTTAAAAGACATAAATTTCGAACAAACACTCATGTCTAGGTTTGAGTGCTGGTAACAACCAAACGGGAGAAATAATCCTCTTTGTTGCTATCCTGGCAGGATATGAATAAATTGCTGCCTAATTTAAAACAAAATTTAATTTCACGATAGCAAAATAATTGCTGACATAATTAATATAACCTACCGTGGCCAGGACAACGCCTTTTCGTTTGCACAACACTTCTTTTTTCTTTTGCCCTATTGACTTGCATCATTTCTATTAAAATTTCTTTTATTTTATATGTGCTTCCTTTTATATTTGCATTTTTCAAACGAAATTCGCTCATCAAAGCAGCGCGCTCTAATACTGAGCAAGTCTGGAACTGAAGAAAATTTGAAATCGACAGCTTTTAACTTGGCACGCAATCAATTTTGCTGTTTATGCAAATTTTAGCAGCAACGCCAAAATATAGAAAAATATAACTGTGGAAAAACTATTGTGGAGCAGATTTGGCAAGCGCATCGACTGCATTTCATATTTTCGAAAGTTCCAAGTGTATATCTGCACTGATTACGGAACAATTGCCTTTGTAAGCAAAAAATAAATAACAGGG